AATATTACAACATTATTGCTGCAATTTTTGTAATATTGCACACTATTATAAAATATTACAATATTGCTACAATATTTTGTAATGTAGGTATAATATTTAAATCCTTATATCTCAAAAACTATTGAAATAAAAATTTATAATAAACGTTTTACTTAATTTTTTTTAAACCTTTGTTACTATTATATTGTATTTTGAATGGCGAATGTTGAAACATCGACTTGTATATATATTTCAATGATGTATTATTTGGCCCCGCACATAATAAAAAAATTAAGAACAGAAAAAAATATTAAATATTGGAGGAAATTGTAAAAAAATTGTAAATGAATATTACATATAATAAATGCAAATAAGATATAAAATAGCTTATTTGTATCTATTGTAAGTTATGTCCAATCTATATTCCTAATTTTTTTACATTTAATACTTAATATTTATTTAGTAATAAATCAAAACATAATATTATAGTATTTATATCTTAGAAAGTTGGATAAAATGTTTTGTAATATTTCAACGCTGTTACAGTAATATTGCAATGCGATAAACTGCAATGTAATAATTGAACGATATTACTATAATATTACAATGCAGTATACCACAATCATTGAATAATATTGCGATAATATTACAAGGCGATATATTACATTGCAATATTTGAACAATATTGCGATAATATTACTTTGCGATATGTCGTACTGCAATATTTAAACGATATTGCGGATATATGTACTTTAGTGTAATATATCATATTGCAATATTTGGACGATATTGTAGTAATATTGCAGAATGATATATAGTATCACATTGCAATATTTCAACAAAATTATTGCAATACGGAAAGTTATCGGAAAAGTCACAATGCATTTTTTAGTTCAAAATTGTATATATAATATCTTCGTTAAAAATGAATGAAATTTAAATTTTAAAAAAGCATTTTAAAGTGTGAAGTTTCCACTTTCAAAAACTTACTATATTTTTTGAGTTTATGTAAGTTTGATAATTTTTACATACAGAAGACTACCAGCTAAAAAAAATGAAAAATTTTTTTTCACTTTGTAGGTCTGTAACATGCTTAAAAAAAATTTGAGAACAATTTCGACTATCTATCGTAAAAGCTTACAACTTTCCTTGCAAAATCATTTTTTAAAAATATTCCTACGATTTTTTGTTACTGAGTTATCGCGGATTAAATAAAAGAAGTATTTTGATTTTAATTACTCATAACTCCGTTAAAAAACATCGTGATGTAATTATTAAAATAGATTCTTAAAGCTGAAACTTTGCTCTATTAAATGGTATAATTAAATGTAGGATATATATATATAAATTTGAATTAAAAATGTGACAAAAATATGTCACTCTTTCGACAACCTAATATTACGTTGTGATATATCGCAATGTAATATCTCACAATCAGTAATATTTACCATTTACGTTTAAGTTGTATTGCAAATTGTAATATTACTGCAATGTTATTACAATATTACATGTTATGTGGAGAGTTGAATAAAGTATTGCAATTTTGTGATATAATAATCTTTGAAGAATAATTAAAGTTACTATCATACTTATAGCGTTTTCGGCTCGACCGAGTTTGCACAAACTTGGGTTGAAGTAATGATATTTCGTGCTCTCCTATTAGTAGAGCATGTACTTAGTGAACGTCA